ATTTAATGACACCATTAGCCTAAAAATATAATATTTTTTGGTAATACAGCCTATAAATATGTAGTTAAGATACTAAAACACTTAAAGGTCTTGGCTTTCATTTTCACTTTCAAACAGGAGCTATTTCATGGCACAGAATCTGCTGTTTTGAAAGATATCTGAAGTAAACTGATGTTTTTGCCATCAGAAAGTTTTGTTTATGTTAGCAGGAAGTTGCTAGGCAAGAAAATGCACACATATTTAAAGTCACAGTGAAAAGTATTAGACATGCATGCAGTCATTTTAACCAATATGGTAATTTAAGGCAGAAATGCTCAGTTCTTTACTGTTTTGTATTAAAAATAATAACAATGTCAGAAAGAAATACACTGATAGTTAGAAAGCGGCAGGGTGTTATAAATATGTTAGTTTTATTTCAAAGAGTTATAAAATTACAAAAATTAAAAACTCTCTGTGTATCTATCCACTCAAACCTTGCAGATGAGTGATTAATCCGCTGATAAATCAGCTGATTTGACAATGTTTTTAAATGCTTTCTCCAAAGCTTGAAACGCTGTCAATGATGTAATCAGCACACAAGCAGCCAATAGTGTTCAGCTTTTTCTGACGACTCCTCCCTCAAAATTTCATTGGCTGTGGTTTGGTATCTTGAATGAGCTGATGGGGAATGAGTTGTTGTCAGATCATGTAGTGTGTGACCCCCTCTTGTGGATCGTTCACGGAGTGTCGCGTAGTGTGAACACCACAGAGATTAAAAGACACAAAGTCAAGTCATGTAGTGTGAATGGCACAGCGATCTGCTGATGTTTAAAATCCTTTAGTGTGAACTAGGCTTTAGGGGTGCTCAACCCTGTTCCTGGAGATCTACCTTCCTGCTCAGAGTTCAGCTCCAACCCTGATTAAACGCACATGAACAAATTAATCAGGACCTGAACAGCACTTGATAATTACAGGCAGGTGTGATATGGGCTGCAACTGAAATCTGCAGAAAAGTAGATCTCCAGGAACAGGCTTTGTCAACCATACTCTAGCTGGTTTTTGACAAGTAAAGGTTGAATAAATGATGACACAATTTTCAGGATTGGTTGAACTACCCTTTAAATGTATCATAACCACTACCATTCCATTTGTTTGTCATCACACAAACTATTTTGTTGAATACTGTTGGAATTGTTTGTTATGCATAACACAAACTCACACACTGCTTCGAGTCTTGCTTTGCAATGGTACTCATTGTGGAGCGCTTGTTAGACTGTTCCTTGTTTTCTGTACTGTTTGCTGCCCTGATCTTCACCTGTTTGCTAAATTACCCTTTTCGCATTAGTTTAGATATAGTGTAGTATTTTATCACTGTCTGTTTTGACTACCCTTTTAATACAAAAAAACTGCATTCAGATCCTCACTTCTGTTGTCAGATGTTGCTATTCTAAAAATTAATTTACACACTATGCTTTTACTGCTTAAATTCTTTTTGGAAATCATGACAAAAGTTAGGGGTATAAAGGGTTAGCTATTTAGTGAGGAAGCAATAAAGACATACCAATGCATACCAATAATAAAAAAACAAAAGTTATTTTCCAAAGATGAACTTCTATTCATCAGTTGAAATTATAGACAATAATAAAAACAATTATTATTTTTTTTTTTATTGTACTATTATTATAATTAATAATGTTATCAATGTTGATGTTATAAAAATATGATAACAATGATTGTGATGATTGCACAATTGTTATCATAATATTTATTATGGAAAATATTTTAATAGAATTTTTTGTATTAATACTACTATTAATAATATATTGTGGGGACGCAGTGGCGCAGTAGATCTGAGGCTATCACCTCACAGCATGAAGGTCGCTGGTTCGAGCCTCGGCTGGGTTAGTTGGCGTTTCTGTGTGGAGTTTGGATGTTCTTACTGCGCTCGTGTGGCTTTCTTCCGGGCTCTTCGGTTTCCCCCACAGTCCAAAGACATGCGGTACAGGTGAATTGGGTAGGCTAAATTGTCGTAGTGTATGAGTGTGAATGAGTGTGTAAGGATGTTTCCCAGAGATGGGTTGCAGCTGAAAGGGCATCCCCAGATTATTAAAGGGACTAAGCCGAAAAGAAAATGAATGAATTAATATTGACATTGCCTAATTATCAGAATTATTACCAACAACATTATCATTATTATATATTTTCTTCTTTAATTTTATTATAGAGCAGGAGTGGCCAACCCTGTTCCTGGAGAGCCACCTTCCTGCAGATTTCAGTTGCCATATCAAACACACCTGAACCCATTAATTAGGACCTGAACACCATGTGATAATTACAGGCAGGTGTGTTTGATATGGGTTGCAACTGCAATCTGCAGGAAGGTGGCTCTCCAGGAACAGGGTTGGCCACCCCTGTTATAGACTAAAGATAAATACATCGCTAAAATAAATAATACATTTATTAAAAGATAATATTCTAGACTTTTAAACAGTAGTGTATAGGTCATGATGTCACAAAATTTTTTTAATTTTAGGTAAAAGTGAGCCAACAAATAATTAAGAAAGGCGGTTCCCAGCAGGGATCTTTCATGCAGCTGCTCAGGGTAAATAATGGGGCATCAGCTGTGTGGTATTTAGACGGGCATCACGAGTAAAACAGTGGTGGAGATTGTGTGTGCTTTGAGCTTCTGAGGTCTATATGGGGCTCCTGAGGGACTGATAACCTGTATGTTTGCGCACAAAGCCTATGCATGTCTGTCTTGACGCGTCTCTGATAAACGCACACATGCTGATGAATGCTTTAGCTTGGGCAGAAGCGAGCTCAGGATGGCTGCTCTCCACGCTGCTCTCAGGGGGAGAATGTTTTCACGCTGCTCTTTCCGATCCTCTCGTGGCAGATGGCCTGATAAACCCACGGGACTGAAACACACACACCTACTGCTGATTCTCTAAGGATTCAGAGTCTGCTATAGGAATAAAGGCCAACTCTGCTAGTTGGGTGCCATTGTAAATACTGGCCGCCTCTTTCCATGAGCAAGATAAAATAAGAAAGGAGTAGAAAATGCTTTAGAAAATGTAGATCGCATGTCTCAGGAGGCTGATTTGTTCATTTCATTTCAATTTTCAGAATTCTGATTTACCCAAAAAGATGCTACTCTTCTAACAAAATAAAATTAAGTGCCAAAATCTCAACATACATTACTGTTTAAAAGATAAAAAAGTATATTATGTTCACAGAGGTAGTGTCTATTTAATTTTAAAAAATCAGTAATGTTTTATTTATTTTAATATATTTTGATATATTCAAGCCACATGATTCTGTTATGGTGCTGTTATTATCAAAACTAAAAGGTTGTACTGCCTATTTTCTTTGAAGATTAGACAGTCCAAAAGGACTGCATTTATTTGAAACAGAAATTGTATAATTTAGAAATATAATACATTTTTACTGTCACTTTGGATAACCGATAAACGTATCCTTACTGGATAGAATTATGCATAAATAAATACAAAAACAAATTATAAAATGCTGAGCTTTACTAGTGGGGAACTGCTATAATTTGAAGTCCAAAAGAGCAACAATTATAAAAAAAAAAAAAAAAAACATTTTGTAATTTTATGTTATTTACTACGTGTCATCTTAAGGGCTATTCACATATCATTTTTTTTGCACGCTCAAGTTTGTTATTTGCAATGGAGACATGTGACTTGTGCACACAAATATGGGCTAGTAGCCATACTTTTTATAGAAAATACACATTGAAGTAATAACTGTAGACTGATAACCTCAGACAAATACAGAGCACCCAAACTCTAAAAAGCTTTTTAAGTTTCTACATAAGTAAAATTTACATCAGAGCTGCAGCAAGGGTTTGTTAGTAGTGGATCCTCAAAGAGCACAGCTGATGGTAGCTTAGCAATGACAGACACCATGAAAGCGTGAACTCAGAAGTGTGTTGAAATTGGTAAAGACAGCCCCGTAATCTATACATTACAAATACTTTAAGTAATTATTTATAAACCAATCAATCAATCATTCTAAACTTTGGGTTGAGACTAAATATTTTCTAAACTGGGTTTTCCTGTTAACCCCATAAGGTGCACTTCTTAAAAACTTTTGGCCCACATCTTGGACTGAATAATGTACTAACACAAATATTAATAAGCAATAAAAATAATAATAATAACCTATGGTCAAAAGGTCAACAAGGTTGTTATGATGCCTGTTAAACAATTCTTCTTCTTGTAATTTCTGTTGAAGAAAAACATCTTTCATTATTATTAGCTCCAAATGTGAAATCATTATGTTTTTATATTTATTTTTGTCATGTAGTTTGTATGTGTAACCCTGCTGGTCCAACAGCACCCAACCCGCTTCAAGCTGGGATTGAACTGGTGACCTTCCACATGGGAGTCGGTTGCTCTACCAAGGAGGCTAAAAACCATGGCCTCTAGCATCTGTCGTTAGGGCACATTTTAGAGGTCAGAAGAGTGAGGTTTACCCGCACAGCCTTTCACTAGCTGCTCTCTGTTACACTCACTCCTATCCAGGTCACGGCACCAATGTAACTTCACTGGTCCTACACCACCCAACCAGCTCCGAGCTGGGATCGAACCGGTGACTCTACCAAGGAGGCTAAAGACCATGGCCTTTATCGTCTGTCGTGAGGCTTACCTGCACCACACTTCACTAGCTGGCCTCTGTTACACGTGTAATGAACTAATTATTTAAATACATGATTAAAAAGTTTCAAATAAAAATTACATTAACACACGTATATTATAGTTCTTATTTCAAATTTAAAACAAGGATTCTAACAAATTTACTTGACAAATTGATAGTTTATAACTCACAATTTTGATCTTATAATTTAGAATCCTGAATTATTTGATATAAAAAAATTCTGACTTTCTGAGAATTAGAATGTTTTCAGAATTGTGAGATATTTATAACAGAATATCATGCTGTAATAAGTTTGCAAACTCTAAAAGGGCCAGAGCAGAAATAAGTGACCCTCTTACCTGGCTGTCTCACAGCAACATGTGTGAAGCCAGAGGAGTCCTGTGCCAGCCGGTACCACTCTCCGTCAGGGTCCATGAGCCACTCCTCCACCAGACAGTAGTAAACTCCAGAGTCGCTGGTCTCTGCGCGGTGCAGTGTGAGGCCGTACAATCTAGGAGAAAGTCTCTCTGACTGCACACGGCTGCGCAGACGCTCTTCTTCTGCATATGCACCATACTCAAATGCCCCTGTGTGTTCAATCTTCAGCAGAAGCTCATCCGGCTGACCCGCTTCAGCCTTGCGGGCGTACCACAGCACTGCATGCTGTGAGTCCAGGCTGGTCTGAGAGGAGACAGAACAGTTGACCCGCACACGACTGTCCTCCAGAAACTGAAGACTCTGATTGGACTTGTGCACCTTCAGTTTACTCACTAAAGGAGGAGGAAAATAAGAGGAAACATTAGAACAATAAACAACACATTTGTTGTGTACTGTTAAATAAGCTTATAATTCTGACTCCAACTGTATATGCAGTGTATGTATATATATATATATATATATATTATTATTATTAATATTATTATATTACAACCCTTGATTCGACATGAAACACACATTTAACGGTAGGTATGAAGACATCCTGTCCTACACATCATTCTCTCTACTTATAGCCATGTATACTGTATATATATATATATATATATATATATATATATATATATATATGCCTATTACATAACCATAATACACGGTGATATAGCCCGGTTTGTTAGTTTGTTGGATTGTTCCTTGTTATTCTACAAATTCTTTTTTATAGAGTATAGTTATAGTAGTATAGTTTTTGTTTATGATTTATTTTAGCAAACAGCTACAGAAATACAGAAATAATAATATCAAAAATATATAACTACAAAAAATAATAATAAAAAGAAATTAAAAAGTAAATAAATAAATACATTAAAATAAAAAAAAGATGATAATAATGAAATAAAACCAAATTATACAAATAATGCGAGGCAGATGTCTACATTTATACAATAATCTCAATGTTACATTTCAAGTACTAAAAGATTACAAACTGATGTATTATTATTGTCAAGGGCGGGGGGAATCAGTCTAGATCCAGCTGGAGAGTTTTGAAAGGGCATCCCAAATTTTGACAAATGTTCTGTTAGGTCTTTGAAGGGAGTATCTAATCTTTTCTAGTTTTACAAAATACAAAACGTCTTTTAGCCACCGTACGTGTGAGGGTGGCTGAGGGCTCTTCGATCCGTGCAAGGCTACATTTCGACCATGCAGTGTATTCTGTGAACCACTTTACAGTGAATGGATCAGTGACGTGCGAATATAGATGAGGAATGAACCCTGTCCAGAGCTGCCTCCCATGTATCTTGGTCCATTTCAATATTGTGTATAGTGTGCTTAATTTCTATGGACCCACTCTTGTGGTAATCCTTTGTTTAAATCCTGATCTGAATAGAAAAAAAAAAGCAGGACAGATATTTCCTGTTGCTGAAGGCTTAATAGTTATGTTGGTGTTAGATGTGGCAGAAATAAGATGTCAGAAGCATTCTTATGACAGCAGGGCTGCAGGATTTTTTGGCATACATATTGGATTACTGCAGGTGCGTCAGGTGTGACCACCATCAGCAATGCCTGCTATTTCCCACCATGACTGGATTTATCTTCGCCAGAAGAGCTCAGGAAGACACAATAAAGACAGCAGACACACATTCACACACTCACAAATGTAGATCATTAGATATGTCCAACCGAGAAGCACTTACAAGTAAAGAGAGCAGATGTCCTACATGTGCATCCCTGCTATTTGGCATGAGAACATGCAAATGGTTCAGGCACACTTTCAAACACATGAAACATATGCCGCTGTATCACTCCTTCTATTTCCCTCAAAACACACGCTCACCCGCACACACATACACACACACCACCTTTCATCACAAAAACACTAAATTGGTAAGGACTTCATATGATTGTTTCTTTTGCATCTTTTAATACCTCAAATTAATGAGCATCTGTGAGACTTCACATTCATTTTTTCTGCTTTAATGGCTCTTTGCTAAAAATCCAATTTTCCACTGACACTTTGGCTCCAGTAATCCCATCACGCATTTCTGCACTTCCAGCAAAGTCCCCTGATTCATCCCTAAAGCTGGACTTTCTCCTGAACAAAAGCGGCATGAACACTCTCACGCTTCAAACCAACAGGCCCAAAACTCAATCCCTGCAGCAAAGCTTCTCAATTCTACAATGTCAGATCACACCAATTTAATGTTGTGGTTTTTTTTTTTACCCTTTTCAGTCTCACATATGTAGTTTTCCTAAGAGTTAGTTTACGTCAAAATTAAATTTGATTTAGCCTCTTATGACTTTCTAAACTGTAATATTTTTTTTCAAAACACAAACAAAGATATTTAAAATCTAATATCCGAGACTTTAAACTCTTCACTGAAGACTATGAAGTTTCAAAATGTTTATGAGGTTACACTCTTTTTCTTTATTTCTCTTTTTAAAAACACTTCTTAACAATTGCTGTCAGCATGTTTTCCTAATGCAACCCCATGCATTTTATTGGATTTATTCATTCATTTTCTTTTCAGCTTAATCCCTTTATTAATCTGGGGTTGCCACAGCGGAATGAACCGCCAACTTATCCAGCATATATTTTATGTAGCGGATGCCCTTTCAGCTGCATCTCATTTCTAGGAAACACACATACACACTCATTCACACTCATACACTACGAACAATTTAGTCTACCCAATTCACCTGTCTTTGAACTTGTGAGGGAAACCGGAGCACCAGGAGGAATCCCACGTGAACACGGGGAGAACATGCAAACTCCACACAGAAACGGCAACTGACCCAGGCAAGGCTCAAACCAGTGACCTTCTTGTTGTGAGGCGACAGCACTACCTACTGCACCACCGCGTCACCTTTTAGTGGATTGAACATAACATAAGTAAGATTGAAATAAACAATCAAAACTTTTCAAGTATTTTGCTATTTTAATGTGCTATAATTTTTTTTTTCATATTTTATTGTTTAAAACCTAAATCTTTAATTTCAACCTTTGTTTATACATTGATTGGTAAACTAGACGTCACAGTGGCTCAGTAGTTAGCATTGTCACCTTACAGCAAGAAGGTTGCTGGTTCAAGTCCAAAAACATGCGATATAGGTCACTTGAATTAAATAAAAAAATGCCTTAGTATATGAGTGTGAGTGAACGAGTGTGTAAGGGTGTTTCCCAGTACTGGGTTGCGGCCGGTAGGTATATATGCTGGAATATTTGGTGGTTCATTCCTCTGTGGCGACCTCTAAAATAGAAACTAAGCAAATTAAAAGATTGGTGAACTGCTTTGAACATAAGTGCGAACCTCATTGGTTCTTGCAAGAATGAGCTTCATTGATTCTCACTTATCAAGCAAGCATGCCAAAAAAATAAATAAATCAAAAATCACCAATTTTGTATTTTGTAAACATTCTTGGCTGATCAATAGTTTATGTGCATAAAAACCTAAGATAAATGTATTCATCGTGTAAAGCTATTACATTTTTCTTCAAAAGATTTGATTAAACTATTCATGTATTTTGTTTTTGTATCTCATTCTGAATGATTTGGGTTAACAGACTTTTAGAAATCTTTAACAGAAATCTCTACTCTTTTAATGAAATGTTTCGTTTGAGTTCAAAAGATGAGTACTTTGAGATCAAAGTATTTTATACCTGAAATGATGCCAAGGTAATGATAACAGAATTTCATTTTAGGGTGAATTAACCATTTAACAGTCTAATATAAACATCCCTTCCCTCCAAAAACTAGTGTTGAAAACTCTGACAAACAATTCATCATATCTGTATGTGATGTGACAGTTGCGCTTGAGGAGTTTGCATAATATCGCCACCTGCTGACTTTCTGTTGTCACTGTGCCTGCTATCAGGCCGGAAGCTTTTTAAATTAAAATGTCACACAGCAAAATGAGTTGTGTTCACTCCTGCAGGGCTGTCATAATTAATATCTCCCAACAGTTCAGCTTCAAAAACAGAAGACTCAAACAATACTGACAAGAATAAAATTGTCTGCACCCCTTCAGCTGTCGATGGTTGTCGCACCAGATCAGTTGATCGCTGGTATATAAATTGGTTACAGTTCACCTCAAAATAAAAGGAAAATCTGGTTCAAAGTTACTTTTTAACATGTTAACAATGTTTGAAAGCTTTCTTATTAATCTATTTTTATCCATTTTTATTTTTATTTCCAAACTGATTCTAAGAACACAAATGATAATCAATTTAAGAGATTTGTCTCTCCATTGAATGTTTGTTCACAATGATTGCTTTATATGAAAAACATGATTTGATTTTGGCTTCACTGATCTACCCAAAAACATTTATCTGCTACTAAAGTAAACCTTAAAAGTTAACTGCTGCAAAAAATGTTAAGCATGAAAGTGAATAAATTCTCAATGGAGAGAAAAAAAATCTCTCAAATTTATATAATTTTTTTCATGTGTTCCAATAAAAAATGACTAATTTTGAATGGGTTTTGTTCAATTCAATATCATTCAATTTAAGTTTATTAGTAAAGGGCTTTTTACAATATTAATTGTTACATAGGAGCTTTACAAAAGGTGCACATTATTCCATTAAAATCCAATTAAAAGTTAAAAAAAGTTAAAGTTAAAGTTACAAGTTAAAGTTACAATCAAATATAAGTTTATATAATACATTATATGTTTTTTTTAAGATAAAAGGTAAAAAATAACGACAGAAGCATTTTTTTGGTGAACATTTTAAACATTTTCTCTCTTTTTATATGATATATTGGATATATGTGTAGTAAGTACAGGCTATGCTACTGTTTTGGGTTAGCAAATGCATTTCCACAAAAATAAAATAAAAATAAATAAATAAATAAATATATATTTTTTTATTTTACAATAAAAAATAAATAATAATAATTATCCTTATCACACTTCAAATATACGTAAAAAGCAGTGTACAAATTAAAAACAAATGTTAATAGGTATTTATCTAGTGCTAATTTACTATATGAGAAAAATGTCTAAAATATTGTGACACTGAAGGCTGGAGTAATGATGCAAAATATTCAGCTATGATATTTTCTGTCTTTTAATAGATGTATTATATAAAAATAATTGCTTTGTTTACCATCAAAAAAAAAAAAAAAGGATCAAATCGGATTTGCATTGTAAACATTCAATAAAAGTTAAAAAGGTAATTTTTTATGTCATACAGTATATTAAGTTGGCGAGTCAGTGGCGCAGTAGGTAGTGCTGTCGCCTCACAGCAAGAAGGTCGCTGGGTCGCTGGTTCGAACCTCGGCTCAGTTGGCGTTTCTGTTTGGAGTTTGCATGTTCTCCCTGCCTTCGCGTAGGTTTCCTCT